CATCTGAGCTGTCACCTGGTGGGAGAGGGGGACAGAGAAGAAGGTCAGGCACCTCCGCTGAAACGCAGTTGACCTCAGACGTACACACAGATCTGTCTCTGGTTCCCAGGTCCGCGTGTCCGCACGTCTGTCCTGTCCCCACTGCTGCACGTTTGATTACTGCCGCTTCTTAACGAGTTATCGAAGGCGGGTAGGTCCATTTTCCAACTCGTTTGTCTTTTTCAACGTGGTTGTGACTATTCTTGGTCCTTTGCATTTTTATGTAAATCAGTTAGTTTACTAATATTACCGAAAAGCCTGCTGGTTTTAGCTTGGTGTGTTATGTCCATCACTCCACGGAGGGAGAGTCGACACTGTAATGACATGAGTTTTGTGGTCCAAACACATGGCACAACAATCTTTGTATTTAGAATTTCTTTAATATCTCTCGGTGATGTTTTATAGATTATAGCATTCAAATCTTGCATATATTTTATTCAAATCATCCCTAGATAGTTCGTGCTTCTGTGTTATTGTAGGTATATTGTTTTAACCCTTAATTGACAACTGTTCATTGCTGATGTCTAGAAATAGAATCAATTTTTTTGCATTGCCCTTATATCCTGCAACTTTGCTAAACTCACTTATTAATCCCAGCAGATTCTGTGTAGATTCCTTAGGATTTCCTACACGCTCCATCTCATGTGTGAATAGACACTTCCACTCCCTTCTACCCTTTATTTATCTCTTTTTTTGACAGAAGACCTTTCTCGTCTGAGATCTCCAGAACAACACTGAATAAAGATGATAAAGGGTGCGTTTCGCTGTGTTCTCTAAGGGAGAAAGCGTTCATTTTTCTCCAACATGAAGCGCGATGTTACCTATAACAATAATAATTACAATGATGCGCTATATGTTACACAGCGAATTACATTAGCTTTTCAATATTAAGCCAACCTTGCATTCCTGGAATAAATCCTGCACGGTTGCGATGTACTATTCTTTTCACACATTACTGAGTTTTACTTGTTAACATTTGTTCATGAAGGAGACCGGTCTATAATTTTTATCCTTGAGGGGTCTTTGTCTGGTACCAGGGTAATACAGTCCTTGTGAAATGAACGAAGTGTTCTCTCTTCTGTTTCTGAGAGAGCTCGCAGAGGTTTGCCATTATTTCTTCGATCAACATTTTATGATGTTCACCAATGAAACTATTTGGGTTAGGGGTTTCTTTTCTAAGAAGATTTTCAGTTATGACTTCAATTTCTTCAACAGATATAGAGCTATTTGGATTTTTAAAATGTCTTCTTGAAACAGTGTGGATAACCTGTGTCTTTCAAGGAATTGGCCCTCTTCATCTGAGCTATGGAATATATTAGCATAGAATGAAATTGTTTATAATGTTCCTAAACTATCTTTTGAAAAGTTGCAGGGTCTGTAGTGATGTCCACTCTTTCATTCTTGATATTGGCCATTTCTGTCAGCACTCTTTCTTTCTTGTTTAGTCTGGCTAGAGTTTCTAAAAAATAAACAAAAAGCAGCCAGCATTCGGTCTCGAGAATTTTCTCTATTTTTTGTCTGCTTTCTATTTCATTGGTTTCTGTCCTGATCTGTATTATTTTCTTTCTTGTACATCCTTTGTGCTAATTGGCTCCTTTTTCCTAGTTTTTTTAAGATAGAAGCTAAGGTCATTTTGAGATCTTTCTTCTTTTTCTAGTATGAGCATTTAGTGCTCCGAATTTGCCACTAAGCACTGCTTTAGCTCCTTCCCCCAAATTCTGATTTGTTGTATTTTCATTTTCAGTTAATTCAACATATTTTTAATTTCCCTGAGATTTCATCCTGACTTACAACTTATTTACAAATGTTTAAATCTCCAAATATTCGGGGGCTGTACAAATATCTATTTTTTAGTTTCTTGTTTTATTATGCCCTGAAAGCATACTTTGTGGGATTTATATTCTTTTAAATTTGTTAAGGTGTATTTTATGGCCCAGAATATGGTCTATCTTGGTGAACATGCACGTGCACTTGAGAAGAATGTGTTCTTCCCGAGAAGAATTGTTGGATGGTGCGTCCTGTAGGGATCGGTGAGGCCTTAGCTGGTTGGGGGTGGCGTGCACATCTTCTCTACCCTAATTGCTCTTTCTGTCTGCTTGTCCTAGCAATTACTGGGAGAGAGTATTGACATCTTCGACCACACTCGGAGATCTGTCCATTTCTCCTTCTAGTCTAAGCAGCTTTCACTTCATGTATTTTGAAGCCTGCTGTTTAGAAACAAACATGCTTATCTGTGGTCATTATGTCTTCTTAGGGGACGACTCCATCATTATGTAAAGTCCCTTTTTATCTGTGATAATACTCCTTTTTCCGAAGTCTGATATCGAGATAGCTACTCTGGCTTTCTTGTGGCCAGCAATTGAATGGTGTCTCTTTTTCCATCCTCATGCTTTAAATCTATGTGTGTCTTTACATGGAACCTGGATTTCTTGCAGACAAAACACAGCGAGGCTTTTCATTCCATCTGACCACCTCTACCTTTTAACTGGTGCGTTCAGACCATTCACACTTAGTGCGATTATTGATAAGGTTGGATCAAAATTATCACTTTGCTAGGTGTCTTTTATTTATCTGTTTTTTGTTTCTCTTTTACTCTTTTCTGCTTTCTCTTGGTTGAGTATTTTTTTCTCTTTCTGTTTTATGTCCTCCTGAATTATTACTTAGATCTCTTTAAAAAATTTTAGGGGCTGCCCTAGGGCTTAGAATATAAATCTTAAATTATTCAGAATTTACATTCAGATATATTGAACTTCTTCACACACAGTGTAAGAAGCTTAAACAATACTTTCCCAATTCTGCCCCCCACCATCCCTGTAATCATACATTTCCCACAATTCAATGCTGCTCTCGTCCCTTTAGTTAGAACCCATCATTTACGGCAATTAAAAATAAGGGGAAAACCACGTTACCTTCCTGTATTGCACTCCCGAGTCTCCTCCTTCCTCTGTGAAGACCCAGTGGGCAGGCGGGCAGCATGCTCCTTCTGAGTGTCACGTGTCGCTCCTCAGGGAGCAGGTCCTCTGTAATAAGTTCCCGTAATTCCCGTTTATCTGAAATAGTCTTTTTTTTAATCTTCAATTTTTAGAAGACGTTTTCACTGGTATAAAGTTGTGAATCAATTCTATAGAACTCAGGGCGATCGAGACACCACGTCATCGTCCTCCAGCTCGCGTGGTTCCTGCCGAGACGTCTGCTGCGCCTCCGACGTCTGCGCCTCCGACGTCTGCGCCTCCGACGTCTGCGCCTCCGCTCGTAGTGTTAGTATCTGTGCCCTTTGCCGTCTGCCTAGAGGTTCTTCTTTCCCCCTGCAGTTTGAGTAGCTCGTGTGTTTGGGGCTTTTGTCGGGTTTTCGTTTGTTGTACCTTTTGGAGGCATTTATCCTGCTGTGTGTTCTTTGTGCTTTTTTGATCCATGCTTTGGGGTCTGTCATCGATTCGTCTTGGAAAATTTTCGGCCGCTTTTCTTCAAGTGTTTTGTCCGCCCGCCCGCTCCCCTTTCCTCCTGCGGTTCCAGCCGCGTGTCTGCGAGGCGGTGAGACACTGTCCCGCCGCCCTCGGACGCGTGCCTCGGCCTCTTCCCGTTCCTTTCGTGTCTCCGCGTTTCTGTTTGGGTGATTTCCGCCGAGTCTCCCTGGGCGGAGCGCGGTTCGCCGCCGAGCCGGGCGGAACCTTTCTCCATGCCGGGGTGTCTCGTCCTCAGCCTTCCTGTTCTGTGCATCCACTGACCCCCTCTCTTTCCATGGCAGTACGTTACTCGGAGCAACAAGCAGCGGCGGGCCCACCGAGCGTGCCGTTTCCGGGCCGCGGAGATGCGTGTGGTCCTTCAAGGGCCTGCCTGTCACTGACAGGGTCGCGTTAATGAAGCAGGTGTGAGAACCAAGAGTATTAGCTCGCGTATGTTTTTTAGATTTCACAGAACAACTCTCTGCGTTTCCCGAGTCACAAATATCTGTGAAGCGCATTTTAGAAAAGCCAGCAGGATAATCCTGGGGACCGTGGTCAGCGGGAGACTGGGATGCAGAAGCAGGTCGCGTGGGGCCCAGGCGTGCGGGTGACACTCGGAGTTTTCACAGGGAGTTACATTCCTATGTCAGGTGCATGTCTTTAAACGGCTCCGACTTTGGTTGCGGGGGAG